CGGGCTCCTCCCGCCTGTGGTGGACACCTGCAGCACAGGCCCGAGGCCACGGGGACCCCGGCCCCTGCCTCCCCCTCCCCGCCTGGCCTCTTCCCCAGCCTCTCAACCCCGGGCAAAGGCGCCCTTGGTGGAGGCCAGGATCTGGCAGACCCTGGGCCTTGAACCCAGCCGGGGCCGGCCTGAGCTCTGGACTGGAGGCTCATCCCAGATTCCACGGGGCTCCTCCGGGTCTCTCCACACTCGCATCTGTAGGTCTCTTCTGGACACAGACTAGGTTAAGAGAGTGGAACAGGCCTGGTGAGGCACACCTGTAATCCTAGCTTCTCCACAGCCACCAAGGCAGAAAAGTCTGGGAGACTCGTCTCCAATTAACCAGCAAAATGCTGGACTGCAGATGTGGCTCAGCTGGTAGAGTGTCAGCTGGAGCGAGAAAGCCAAGAGTGCGAGACCCTGAGTTCAAGCTCATGTACAAGTATGAAAAAAACAACCCACAACTAAATAAACGAAACACTGGAATCGATCTGTATTTTCACATATACCTTTTTTTAAGCTGTGTGTGTGTGTGATTTCAACTAGGGGGAATCCCTCTGCTCTACCTCTCCATCCTGAAAAAAGCCAAAGTGAAGTTTAGGATATTGCCCAGTGGCTTCCATTTGAGCTGAAGCATCGTGGGCACAACTCCACTGGCACTCTCACTTAGCTGCGTTTTATTTATGTCACTTCCTCTTGTGACACTAGGGAATGAACCCACACTGTTCCTACAATAGGCAATCATACACAGTTGATATATCCAGATCCTCTTGTACTTCATTTTATATGATGAGGTTGCTACTTACACAAACTTGTCTCCAAGTTGATGGGCTTAAGAATTTCTCCTGCCTCAGTCCCACATCGTCTAGACCTGGAGGTGTGTGTCATCACAACTAGCTCCCTGTTCCTTTCCTTACTCATACATGAGAGGTCTTTACACATTAAGATGCAAGTCAAATTTGGTGAGGTTTACCAGCTTGGTCCCAGCATGCATGAAGCCCTGGGTTCAATTCCTCAGTGCCACATACACAGAAAAACCTGGAAGTGGTGCTATGGCACAAGTGGAAAAGCACTAGCCTTGAGGTAAAAGAAACTCAGGGACAGCGCCCAGTCTCAGAGTTCAAGCCCCATAACTGACAAAAAACAAACAACAACAACAAAAGACTGACTATGCCAGGCTTTGGTGGCATATGAATGGAGGTAAACCAAGGATCCAGTGGATGAGGCAAGGGGACCATGAGTCTAGGCCAGTGTAGGTTACATGTCTAGACCATGTCTAAAAAAAAAAATTAGCTGGGTTCTGGTGGCTCACACCTGTGATCCTAGCCACTCAGGAGGCTGAGATCTGAGGACTGCATTGCAAAGCCAGCTCAGGCAGGGAAGTCCATGAGACTCATCTCCAACTAATTGCCAAAAAGCTGGCAGTGCAAGGCTAGCCTTGAACAATAAAGCTCAGGGACAGTGCCCAGTCCTTGAGTTCAAGACCCAGGCCTTGTGCCTGCGCACGCGCACGCACACGCGCACACACACACACGCGCACACACGCACGCACACGCACGCGCACGCACGCGCACACACACGCACACGCACGCACACACACGCACACACACCCCACCTTCCCCAGGAAGCCCACGCAGGCTCTCACGTTAACCCAGGGCTCCCGGCCGGCCCTTCCTCCACACACTTAGGGCCTTCCCAGGACCACACCTCTCTGTGAACCTGCCTAAGCCCAACTGCAGGCTGCGGCCCTGATGTTCAGCCCGTTGCTTTGTCAATTAACCATGTTTTAACTAACAAGTCTTTGGAAGGCACAGTATGGACAACTGGGTTGTTGCTGTGAACCAGGGTCACTGGACCACAGGGGGGGAACAAGGGACAAAGGGTGGGGGCGAACGAGGCCTCCCCGCGCGCTCTGCCCCGGCTCAGGGCCCGGCTGCTGCCATCCTGGGTGAGGGCGCCTGGGTCTGGGCCCTTCTCTGGCGCCGCCGGCCTCTCGCGCCCCAGGCGATGGGGCGCGGCCCGAGGGCTTCTCCTGGGGCCTCTGCTCGCTGGCCGAGCTTCCCGCCCTCCCTGCTGTGCTCCGCGGCGCTGTGGAGCCCAGGCCCAGGCTGGCTGCCCCCGGGGGCCCTGGGGCCTC